AAGTTAATTGTGCTGTACTTTGAAGAACCCTAAAAAAAGACATGTGTTAATTGATAGAGCGGGTATAAAGGTAAAGTTGAAAGAGTCGGAGATCTGTGTTGACGCACTGAAAAGCTGGACCAACGGACAAACGTCTTTCACTTTTGAAATTCGCCACATGAGGAGCACGTCGCAGAGAGCAAGAAACGGTGATTCAATGCAAGCATGTCAAAAAGACAGTTAAATTTACTGTCTTTCTTCAAAAAGAAGGAAGAGGTAATAGACACTTCAAAACGAGTCAGAAAAGCCTCCACAAGCAGCGACGAGGGCAGCTGCAGCGGTCATGTTGATGGTCAAAACCAGGAGGAGGTTAGCGCCGCAACAGCTAGCCAGCTAGCTAACCGACAGCTAGCCAAGCCCGGGCAGGAGGCTGGCACCGTGGCAGCAGCGGGTCAGGTTCACCGCCAGCCGGAACAGGAGCCAGCTACCGTCAGCCAGGTGGACCACCAACAGCAACGGGTGGGTACCCTGGCATCAACTAGCCCGGTACAACAGCCGGAGCAAGAGGCGAGCGGAACTGCGACATCAGCTGGCCACAGACACACGCATTAAAAGCAGAAAAAAAGAGATAGAGGACAATCCGGACATGCTCGTGATGTGGGGTGTTTTAAACAACTAAATATGGTGAGCAAACATACTGTCTATTAATAGGCCGCCGTGCCAATCTTTGAATAGGCCTAATAAATATCTTTTTTACACGTTAAACCTGTTGAGAAATTAATTGCTGGCTGTATACTGAAGTCCCACCTGTGGTGATGTGGGCATTTGCCTATGTTGTGCGTACTAGCCTAAAAAATTATAAATTATCGTCATAACATTTATACCATGGATACTATTTGAAATTGAGGCTTGTAAGTCCCACAGCGTTGCAAGTGGACATTTTCATGTTGTTTTCAGCACCTTTTCTGTATACGTTCCGGGACCTGTACGCGTCTCGTCATCCCTGAGCTGTCATATGTACTTTGCGTTCCGGCACCTTATGATTTACAAATTAAGCACTGACCGTAAGTAAGCAGTAAGCTGTCACACCTCAGAAACAAAGCACAGTTGCTGTAATCTGTTAGAAGCCTACTGTATGATGTAACCTCTGCAACACTTTAACACTTTCACATTTTGCAAGTGAACCACATTTTTTGTCGGTTTGGTCAACACAGCAGCTAAATATTGTTTTGTTCACTTCAAGATTCCAGCTTTAGCTTTTTGCGAGGAGATTACATTTTTAAATCTGGTTCACACAATTGGATTTTACCTCAAATCTTAGATACTCAAAGAAATAGCTCTTTCTGTTTTCCAGTCATTATTGGAAATCTGAGATGTATCCACAGGCTCTCAGGGCATCTTGCTGTTTCAGTCGTTTACAGCCCAGCCTTAAGCCGTTCTTTGTGCACCTCGATGGCTCAGTGTGTCCTTACTGGCTACATGCTTTGGTACTGAGGACAATTTGATTAGCACACAGCTGGCAATAACTTAAGCAGCAAGGTGCCCTGAGAACTGTGGTTGCAGTGTTGTATTAAATAAAGAAAAATAAGTAAGTTCCTTTGAAAAGCCCTGGGGATCCACTTGTATATTTGATATAATGGAGAACAACTAAGATCAGCCGCAAATAGATTAGAAATCACAGTTACTTGATGGCGGACATCATTTGCTTTGACCTTTTACTGTGTGATGCTTTAATTTTGAAAATGTATTTATATGGATAGATCAGTATCTACAGTTTTAAAAGATGTCCTCACTACTACACTTGTGTTTTTCCCCTATGTGTCGTATAAGATATTGGTTGTCTACATTTTCCTCGGGATGCATACAGTTTTTATCTTTCTATACAGTTGCGGTATAGAATATATCAAGTCAGTGGGTACAACATTCACGGATCTAAGAGTCTATATGAATCTTACAATTAACCAAACATCAAAGACAAACACATCATTATTCGCAACCTTATAATTTAACAATTAAAGAAGAATCGGCAAAATGAGCATCTTGATACACATCGTTACCATCCAAACCTGATTTATATTTAACAATGCCCAGAATATGTCTGTACTTGTGCTCCTCCAAATCTCCCAGTGTTTTCTATTTTTAAAATCATACCTAAAGGGGCTGTTAGTTTCCTGGGTTCAGCTGCTGACAAGATAATAATGGTGGGCCGAGAGTGAATTCCCTGGGATGAGGGATTGTCGTTTTGGTGATAAAATAATGGTCGAGCTCAGCAGTAACTCTAAGTTTCAAACTGCCGTGGGAAACTGGACACTATGAATATATATAGTAATAGTTTTGTGTACTGCACTTAGTCAATATATTCTCTTGAGCAATAATTGTTACCATCTTGAGATCTGTGTAGCTTTTAATGCAATGAGCATGTACTGCCCCCCGATGCCCCCTTGGTGACGTTGACTGAGCCTATTTCGAAGATGTAAAGTTTGACCAAAAAACAGTGGATGTCTCATTTTCAGAGAATGTAATATGTATGTTTCAGGGGATTGGTTGACAATAGGAAAACTAGTATCCATTTGACCCCCAATATGATGTTATAGTACAAATGTCAAACATCTGAACAGAAGTCGTGAAATCAAATGATTCACCCCCTGAGAATAGCTCTCGTTTCAAAAGGCAGGCCATGGAAAGCTCCCCCCAAACACTATTTTCATATATTTTATTACAAGCTGTTTAATCAACTTATTAATTTCGCAGGAACATGTAAAACACCTTGCATAATCACCAGGGAAGCCATTGGCACTTAATTGGGTTTATAATCAGATGCTGTGTTATCAAGATAACGTGTACTAATTACAAACAGTGCAGTCATTTTCTCATCAGTGCTGCACTTCACATTGATTTTCCATACAACCAATCATGACAACGATGACAATATTGTTATTGAGTGCCTTGGAATGTAATCAGTTTGCTGTGCTGTGTGAGCACTGGTTTTAATGGTTTCCAGCCTTTTTGCATTAAAGTATGGATCAAACAGGTCACATCCAGTATGCCCTAAAGCTCTTCAGCACACAGGGCCTCCACAAAGTAACTCTCTCATTTTGGTTTGACTAAATCAGCCGAATATAGTTGGAAGGAGGTAGGAGAGTTAGTTTGGCGGAATAGTGTCAACTCTAACATTTCATGTCCCACTACCTTGCAGATGAGTTCCAGAACTTCGTTCGAAGGCTCCCCACGTTCTATGCCCTGAACACATCGGCCATCCAATACTTCTGGAAGGCGGAGCCAACCATCCACGAGCGCTACAAACAGCTGGAGCTCAGCACCCAGCAGCTCCTGAGCAAAGCCCAACGAATCATCAACAAGCTATTCACCCTCAGCAAGAGGTGTCGCACTCAGCCCAAAATCATTATGCTGAGGGAGAGGTGAGAAGCTGATAAGTATTCCTGCTGACTTTCTTGTTAATTCGGATGTGCAAGTGTGTGTGTGTGAGGTTGTTCATGTATGGAATTAAGCACAAACTCCAAAAGCCTGCTGCCGTGTCACGATTCCTTTCAAGCAAGCTCTGAACGGCAATGCTCATTTATTTTCTTCCGCACACGCTTTGCTATGCCCTCAACTTCGCATTATGCTAATAATGCACACAATGTACGAGCGCTTTGATATTCCACCGAGGTCCTGCTAAAGTGTCACACCTTGATGACTTGGCTGTACTCCCAGCACAGGTCTCCTCTACATGCAGGGAATCAAAGCCACCCTCCTGTGAAATTAAAGTTTGCTGTGTTTTAAAAGAATATGCTAAGTTTGGGAGATGTTCCTGTTGGTTAACTAGCCTGAGATGAAATCATGGACAAAAAAAGTTTTCCTCGTCTCCTCAGTACATCATTCAATCTATTTTTTTCCTCACACAAAGTCATATAGTCTGCAGACTCCAAGCCTATGAAAAATAAATGTGATTTAAGCAGTGCTGTTAATGCAGCCAGGCTCATTTTAGGGGCTATTTCAGGTGAAAAACTCTGCAAATGGGATGTTAGCTGCATAAATCTCATCGCCCAACACCAAAGGGAATATAAACTATATCATTATCAGAACAAACATATATGCACAAGATGGATTGTTAACCTCTGCTGCTTTAATTTCTTTCTTATGTTGGCTTTCTTGTTTACTTTTTAACATAGCAAAGACCAATGCTTTAGTGTGAGATATTAGGATACTTCTAATGATGTAAAACACGTTTGTCCTTATTTCCCTAATAGACTCCCCCAAGGGTTTAGCTACCACTGAACAAAATACAAGTTTGGTCTCCTGCAGCATGTATTTTAGGGTGATCATGTTTAAAGGTCCAAATATTTGACACAATGGACACCGTCTCTCTCTTTGGTGGTCATTTGTTGTCTCTTTGTAGATGTTTTGTGTCACTTTGTTGTCATTATGTGTTTATATGTGTATTTTGCATCACTTTGTGGTCATTAGGTGTTTCTTTGTAGTCAGTTTCATTTCATTATTATTGATACGTGTATCTTTGCCTGTACATAATTAGGTCGCTCAGTAATCCATGTATTAGTAGTACGGATGGAGCGGTTATACAAATAACCGTTAGATATAAGTAACACCTAAAATGGACCAATTCTTCAAAGGAAACGTCATCTGAAAAGTCTGAGAGAGGACACTGTGAAATGTATCAGTGAGACTATAGCCAGGCACAGTGAGAAATAGGTCGATAAATGCGCATGCATTACACCGTTACTTTATCTCCTCTTGGCAACACTTGTTTATCTTTCACACTACTTTTTGTATACCTCAAGTCCCCCATTTTACCCCATGATTCTGAATGGATCACAGCAACTCTTATCTAGTACACTATGATTGAATGAGCCAGTTATAGTCATTCAGTCGGCAGTTTTACAAATGAATAATAATTTCAGATCTGAAACCAAGAACATATATAATTGTTGAAGCATATATTAACCTATAACCTACCTAATATTGAATTATATTCACTTGTGGTTCAGTATAGTTAAATTATTTGTCTTCTACTCTTTTTGTTAGGCTCTGTTTTTGTTTGTCTGGTTTGGATTAATTGTTTACAGTTTTCATTTGAAAGGGTTATTCTAGTCAGATACAGAAAGACTCCCTGTTGAAAACAAGTGCCAGTATATAGCACTATTTAATCACAATGAAATAAGATGATGCAGTTATAAGTGACTTGTAAGTGATGAGCTAATAAAAAGGCACATCCATAAGTGCCTCTGCGTTAAAACTAATATAAATTACAACACTTCAGCTTGAGAGTATCTAGAGGGAGCAGATATAAAAACATATATTGGGAGTGGGAATACTTAAACTGGATATTTTGGACCCTGCTGTGATTTAACCTGGTGCTCTCAAAAGGTCTTAGCAGGAGTCCATTAGTTCATTTAAAGAGGTTCACATCTATGAACTGTGGGAAATAATGTATTAACTTTGCATTTAAAAGATCTGCACAAAATGCTGTGCTAAATGACATGTCAAATGTTGACAAGGTCTGTAATAATGTGCCATTTTACTGTTTAACACGTAAACAATGTACAATGATTTTCCATATTCTACAACATATTTCCCTATAATCTTGCATTTAAAGACCTTTTTAATAGAATATATATTTTCCTTTTAATTGAAAAGAAACGCTTATGTATCTCTGCATCAGTATGAAAAATAAGGAAAAAGGGGAACAGAAATATGATGTGCTTATGACTTATCCATTTTAAGGGTTCTACAGTAGATTAACTCCCTAGTCTGGAGATAATAAAATATTAATGCTTTTTTCGGAAGTCTGAAATTACAAGGTGTCAGAATATCATCGATGGAGCCGCCATGCTAATGTTTTTTTGGTTCATTAAGCAAACAAATATTGCATCTTCTTTAGGGGGAAAGTTTTGCTCACTAGTGGAAATTGAATATGTAGCAGAAGGAGAAAGTTAGTGTGACGCATTGATCAGTGTGAAATGAGCTGGCAGACAATGAACAGATTGCAGAGTGAACACCCGGCTTCTCTTTGGCCTGCGCAGCACACTGCGTCTGCACGACAGTTTACATGTCGTGCTGACACAATGCGCTTTATGGTGGTGGGGAGGCTTCCTCTCTCTTGCTGTGCACAGCCCACGCTCTGGAGGTGAGATATGCACAGCTGACTCTAACTAATTTCAGAGGAGCTGGCCAGTGTTAACACATTGTATCCACTCAGGGTTCACACAGACCCTTAAAAATACTTAAAAGGCATTGGTTTAATGAATCCTAAATGGTGTTAACATTCCTAAAATCAAACTTCTCCCAAAACAGTAGGATTGCATGAACCATTTTTTTAATTAAAATGTTGAATCTAAAAACCTATTAAAGGGGCCCTATTATGCACATTTTTAGGTTTCATAATTGTGTTTTACTGCCTCTGCTCAGTTCTTTTTGCCATCGAGAGCCCAGTGATTGGTCTGTTGTGATTGGCAATCTCAACCATTTAAAGATATCCCGCCCCTTAGCCTATCACAAAAAATGTGTTGGAGTGCTGAAGCGGAAGTTTAACATAGTAATGTCACTATGTAGCAAAAGTAAACAAAGTACTATACATGAGGCATTTTCAGGCATGGGGGAGTGTGTTGGAGAACAACTTGTGAACTTTGGGATTTGAGAAGACCCCAACAATTATATTAGGGTCCCTTTTAAAAAATACATAATGCCTCTTGCTCACAGATATTTAAGGCAGTGGAATATAAGACAGTGTTTCTCCAATTGTTGTACTGCTTAATAAATGTAGCAAATCAGACTCATTCGCAGTAATTGGAGTCTGAGAGTCTGAGATTGTAAAATGGTTTTATGTTTAAAATACAACATACAAGTGAACTGAAAATGTTATCTGCTTGTATGCAATTGTAATTCTATCATCACAAAGCATACAGTAGTATGGCTTTATCACAATTAACTTGGTATGTCTATGCAATAATGATGGGTTCCGGTAGCCGAGGTATTAATGTTACTTTGTAATACAGTTAATTAAAAATGATTGCATTCAAATATGTTGTATAAAATCAAACAAAAATGATTATTCTATTAGAGGATATTCTGTGTTCTGCACTGATTAGCTATGTGGAGCAGTTTTCAAATTAGAGCTTCATATAAAATGTATCAAAATGCAGTCATTAGTTGAGTTCGAGCGTTTTGTTATAAATGATTGCAAATTGCTCTCATCTGTTCTACTTGGCCATGGCATGCTGTGTGCACACATGCATTTGAAAGTTTTCATTGTCTCATCACATTTTGGTAAAGAAAAGTCAGCACCACACACTGCTATAGTAATTATTATGTATGTGTATAAATGGGAAATGCACTGATGTGGACCCTATTTAGAAGTGCTACAAAAATGTCTTATGTTTGCTCTAAACTGGGTTTGTAAAGTTGTGAATATAAACGTGGCTCACTTTCAATGACTTTGATCTAATATTCATCATTAAAGATAAAATTCACTGTGTGTCAAATAGTTAAACAACTGCTGGGAACAATGTTCAAAAATACCTTTATTGAATGTAAACTACTGATACCTGCGCCTTTGTTTGCCCTAATTTAATTTAGCAGCTGCAAATGACCAAACTAACAAAACTGCTTACTCTGCACAAGAACAAAAGGGGGGACTCAGAAATGTGACAGATGTGGAACAAAGTGAATGAAAAGACTGATCTACAACATTATATTCTTGGCATGTTGGCCATCTGCTTTCTTTTTTAACAAAACAAACCCTTTCTTTTACAGCATCAATCAAAGTGTAACAACAAAGCAATCAGAATCCAAATAAAAATGAATTGTTCTGCTATGAGCTTATCACACCAGGAGGTATTGTCATTTGATGAAGCAAATTAGCTAACTTTTAAGTGCTAAACGAAAATATAGAGCTAAGGATTCTTTAACATTACATCATTAGGTTTTATATATCTGACCAAAGAATATGTGGGCAGAGAAGCATTTCTTGAAGGATTTTATGCCTTAAAACTGTTTTATGTATGTGGTTCCGAGCAATGGTTTTGTTACATTTGATTTGAAACTTTTCTGGATGTGTAAAGAAAGTAATTTTGTGTTGACAGAAAGAGAAAAGAGAAAACTTGATAATTAAACTCAAAATTGTATTTGTTATGTTTTTAATTGTTTTTAACTTGTTTAAATATAGATTAAAGAACAAATAACAAAAGAGGCACGAGATGAAAACTAACATAACATAAAATGAAAGAAAAGGAAAACGTGTTCTTACATTTTTGTTTTCATTTAAAAAGAGCTAGTTACACAACTCTACTTACTATAATTGTATTAAATCCCATGTAAAGTTAATACTCATGTAATCATGTGGTTTTGAGTAGCTTTGTATCTTGTATTAACGGTAAATCTTACATACTTCTATTTTTATTTAACAGGCCCTTCACCTACTGGCTGAACTACATCCTCTCCATCATGTACTGCAGTGAGAACAATCACATCGGTTCTTACCTGGAGGACACCCGGAGCTGCTCCTGTCCCTACGAGCACCCCCCCTGCCAGGGTGTGATCCCCTGCACGGTGGGCGAAGGCACCTCCTGCGCCTCCTGCTCCTACGAGAACCGCTCCCGCTGCGCCACCTGCAACCAGGGCTACATGCTGAGTCAGGGCCTGTGCCGCAACGAGGTGCCCGACTCTACGGATCACTACATCGGCTTCGAAACAGACCTGCAGGACCTGGAGCTGCGCTACCTTCTGCAGAGACGCGACAACCGCATCAGCATACACGGGATCTTTGTCAGCAACGATGTCAGGCTGAATAACTGGTTCGACCCGTCATGGCGGAAGAGGATGCTGCTGACGCTGAAAAGTAATAAATACAAGTCAAACCATGTCCACATGCTCCTGGGGATGTCTCTACAGATCTGCCTTACCAAGAACAGCACTCTGGACCCCTTGCTGTCTGTGTACATCAATCCGTTTGGGGGGAGCCACTCGGAGAGTTGGATCATGCCCATTGAACAGGACAACTACCCAGACTGGGAAAGGACTAAATTAGACCTTCCCTATGATTGCTACAACTGGACTTTGACTTTGGGCAACAAGTGGAAAACCTTTTTTGAGACGGTCCACTTTTACCTGCGCAGCCGGATCAGAGGGCCCTCGAGTACCGGGAATGGAACTGTATATTATGAACCCTTGGAGTACATGGAATCGGGGAAAAATCTCGGCTACATGAAGATAAACAGCATCCAGGTGTATGGCTATAGTATGCATTTTGACCCAGATGCGATCCAGGACTTGATTTTACAGCTTGACTACCCATACACTCAGGGATCGCAGGACTCCGCCCTGCTGCAGCTGCTTGAGATCCGGGACCGGGTCAACAGGCTCTCCCCGCCCGGAGCTCAGCCTCTGGACCTTTTCTCCTGTCTGCTGCGCCACCGGCTCAAACTGTCCACCACGGACGTTGCCAGGATCCAGGCAGCGCTGCAGACTTTCAGTGCCAAGCAGCCCAACTCGTTGGAATACGAAACTACCAAATTATGTAGCTAATAAGTGGGCGGGCGGCCAGGTGCACAGATGGCGGAGCAGTTATCACACAGGCATGATGACGGTTAAGAGCAATCCTGGAGTCGAGGAAGGGGACATTTGGGGGACATTTTTGTTGTCGTCATGGATCTCAAGAGTGCATTTTAGATCCTCATGTCAGCTTTTCGTATAAATTTGTACAACATTGTAGATTTAAGGAGCACCAAACTTGCCTCATACTGTAGCTTTTTTTCTTTCCTCTACGGATGAAAATAATAACTTTGACAGTTGATAGTATAAATGTCAATCTCTGCCATCACTGATATGTTGCCAGTGTGATGACGTTTGTAGGTTGCACATATTTAAATCGCTCATGTACGTAAACAAAAACTTTTGCTGAAGTATTACCCAAGCAATGTAAGCATCTCACAGATATAAACATCTCAACACATCAGCATGTTTTTTGTTTATACTTTCCTCATCACATTTACTCCCCCCCCCAGTACAAAGATAACCATACATCCTTGTTTTACTACCATTGAACTCCCTTTTTAACCTGGAACATGATGGGCACCTCATTGTTTTTAGCTTTCCATTCAACAATAAACTCCTTTTTTTGAAAACTGTACTACACATTTTAGTAAGAAAAAGACAAACAACAACTCAATAAACAAACAAATGACGATGTAGTATTCCATATTTGCTGATAAAAACGAGACCATGATCACAATATATGTTTCATGTGCTTTTATTTTTATAATGCTGTTGTTTGTGAAAAAGTAAAAAAAAAAAGTAAAAAAACAGTGTCTATAAAATGTATAATACAATTTGTTAATACACTAAATAAAAACATTTTTATGTGTGGTCTATAGATGGTGTACTTTTCATACAAGAAATACAAGGAATTTTCCCCAGCAGCTTAATTGCAGCAGCTCGTTAAGGTCATTAATAACACCTGTGCTTTTTCCGCTATGGCACATCACTGTCTGTCGTACATGGTCACATTTTATAAAAAGCATTTCAGATATATTTCTGTTATTCTGAGGTGCTTTCAAATGCTTCTGGATCTGTTGTCAGACTACTGACTATTCAAGGCCAAACATGCAAATGCAAAGGCATAATGGTGGCTGTCAAGGGGAAAAAGGTTCTACTACTCAAAACATTTCTAACAGAAGAAACATGCTCCAGCTTCAGAAACAGTGTCAATTGAAAATCACATACGGAAATTCAAAAACAATACTCAGAAAAAAGCTGCACTTAAAATGTTTGCTGCAAAAAGCGAAAACAGAGAAGAACAGCTTCTAGGAGGAGCTCTAAAAATAAATTCAAATAAAGATTTTCAGAGCTTATGATGATTATGATGAAATTTATTTGGCTAGGTCGGACACAAAAAAACCTAAACAAATATGCAAAGTAAATCCATTATAGATATATGTTCAGATAAAATATGCTTTAAGAGGAATGATTTTAAATGACTATATATTTTTTGGATGAAAACAGATTAGGTTATTGGGAATCCAATTTCATATTTTCTTTGTGATTATCACAATTTCAAGATTAAATCATTGTAAAGCTTAAGTGTTGGTTACTAGCTATGTTAAAACATATTTAAACATTGAATTATTATATAATAATATTATGCCTGATGTAATCATCATGCACAATAAAAAAGTTGCAAAGTTTACTATCACACTTAACATTTTGCTCAAGTGCCCCTTAAATAAATCAAAGCTGGTTGTAAACATTGACTGGAGTCCACCTGTTGTACATTCCGTTAATTGAAAGCCACACACCTGTATGTATGAGGTCTCGGAGCAACAATGCTTATCAAAGCAAAACTGAGAAGCATGTTATCAAAGGATCAGCCTGCATAGCTCAGAGTCACGGTTGTATCGAGGCGCAAAAGAAGATCCTGCTGCATTGGAGGTCGCAAAGAACACAATGGGCCCTAGAAAAGTACAAAACCAAAAGTACTACAATTTTCCTATAATGGAAACCTGGTTCAGAGTGTTCAGATTGGACAGTGGCCCAAGTAAACAGCTGAGGCAATGCAGGGGTGGTTTAGGGACAACTCTGCTATGTCATTGAGCCCCATCTGAAACCAATCGAACATAAAAGTGCAGGGAATGGCAGAAAATCCCCACTCAAGGTGTTCAACGCATCAAGGCTGAAATCCCTGCCAAATGTGAACTAAGTACTGAGTTAAGGGTCTTAATAATAATGTCCATGATGTGATCTTTCTAGTTTTTCTTTGTAATACATTTAGCAAAATGTAAAACCCTAACCCTAACCCCTTGTCACAAAATACGATATTGAGTGATTTGACAATTGGAAAAAAGGGTCTAAATGCGCTGTGTATTGATCCACCACTTGTAATAGAAGTGTTTTCACGGCAACATGTTGACGACTCATTGTGGGAGAAGTAGAGGTGTATTTAACAACTTTAATGAGCTACATTACACTTAGGGGAGGCCCTGGTGTTGTGCATGCTGGTTAACTTGAATTGTTTACTGTGACACTTAATGGACTGTGTCATTGTTAATTATATCAATTTCACCTGTGCTCTTCCTACTATGACAATTCAAATTCAGTTAAAATGCTTGCACCATACAGGCCAGCTGTTATAAAATACATCATTGTGCAACATTAGCAGATTAAAGTGGGAAAATAGTACAGTAGAGAAGATTGTTTTTGTATCATGTGCTTTTTGAAGGAATTATATTTTGGTATTTCTATCTCAGGAGCTCCTTGAGTGAATTTGACACAAATGCAACTTGAATTAACAAGAACTCAGTGGTCAAGGCTGCTGTGACCTCACAAAAACACATGGTTGGCCTTCTGTCTGGGGCTTACATCCGCAAGATAGACATTTAATTTTCCAGCAAATTCCCTGATCAGTCCCAAAACCTATTCTCGGGACAAGCTCTGAAGTCCCTTCCAATTCTGGGCAGACAGAGTAAATGTAATTTCTAGGAGATAGCATATTATATTTTGTATTTAAATGTATAAAACAAGTAATATAACATTCAAAGAACTTGTTCAAGCAGAAAAAGAGATGTGTCACATCAGAGAGTTTAGGTACAATTGCCACAATTGAGACAGCTGCATTCAAGATCCATTTCATCCGGCAAAAGAAAAATCAGTGGTAAGTGAATATAATGAGGAGCCATTCCGTTAACCAGTTAAACCCCATGCCCCCGGGAAACAGCATCTTAGGGCTTCTTAACATTCTTAACATTTAAAAAACGATGAATCTGTCATACTCACTTAGCGGGAAGAAACTCAGCTATCAGACAATATTGACAATTTTTAGCAAAACAAAATATAAGGGTAATAACAAAGGCTCTGAATTAGCCCTGAGTGAAAAATTGCTAACGCACTTAGCAAAGAACTCAAGGTAAAATACCCTTATTACTTATCAGATCTTCACAAACAAGATATCGATTAGCAAGCTGAAATATAAGTATCATCACTGAGCGATCAGAACTCGCAACAGCGGAAGCAAAAACAGACATCACACAACGTAGCTTTAGGTAGCAAACACGGCCAATATGTCTTACCTTTTGCTGTTCCTGATCAAAAGTTGTGTTCAATGGCATCAAAACGATAAAAACGCTGCTGAAGGTTAATCCAATGGTTAATCCAATGTGTCTGTGTCACTTTGAAATGATTACTGATAATCCATCTTCATATTTACTAGTTTGAGCCGAGGTTTTAGTTTTCAGTTTTCAGAGCGTAACATAGCTTTCGACTGCATGCGGATCACTCCTCAACGGTAACGTGTTTGTGTATGTGGAACTTCCCCTTCCATTATATTGGCTCTAACGGTTCAAAAGAGATGTCAATCACCAAAATCACCAAAATCGACCAATGGGTTCCAGAGAAACGGCAAATCCACACAAATATACCCAAATGACCCCAAAGGTGGTTTCTTTTTTTGCTAAACCTCTCTAAAAAGGTCAAATGTCACTTGTTTTGCATAAATCTTGATAGAGGGTACTTATTATATATTGTACTCTTTGGATTCCTAAAGCTTTTAGTCTATCATACCATCATCCAAGGGTAGTTTTCACTATAAGTAAAAAATACGTTTTGGACGGACGCGATAATTTACAGTTTCAATATGAATTTTCTTTAAAATAAAAAAACATCTATATTGATTCTGACTCTTCTACATCCAACTCACAGGTTTATCATTACTTTGAGAAAAAAGATTATTAATTTTCCCCTTTTAGAAGTGTAGTTATGGTAATTTGTACTGGAAATGTCATTTTCGAGCCTGAGACCTGAAAAACAGGGATGGGGTTCAACGGGTTAAAAGACAAAAGGTGTTTTCTTTCGTGGTATGATAGCTCTCAGAGCATTTGATACTATATCATTGTTTTGTTTTGGGATTAAAGCTACAACCTACCACATTTGGCAGATTATCAAGATAGTCAGCAATGCCAATGCTTTGTGGTAATAAGAAGAGGATTTCTGTGCCTAAGGTTGCCTGTGGATTTTTGCTGATGGATGGCTGGTGCAGGTGGGGGGTGGAGTGGACCCAGCATCAAAGGCCTTTAACTCAGGTGGTTCTTTAACTGGTGTGTAGCAGTCTGTTGTAATTTTCCGGGGTTTATGTCTTACTCCACAAACCGTAAAAATAAAGCATCACTTCCCGTGACCCTAAATTGCTTTGTGCTGTACACGTCTAGTATGCAGCTGCTCCACACAAAACCATTCTCTTACTCCCCTTGATCTTTAACCATTTCAGAGGATGAAAGCACAGACTGTGGAAATGCAGGTTCAAAGACTCAAATCGCCCAGAGTGTTCCCCATCACATGATAAGACGGCAATAATGCTTTCTGTCGGAAATGTCAGAAAAATGCAAATGGTTTCTGGCTGCTAGCACATTAGAATGAAAAAATAGATCAAGTAGAGATGACAGGTAGAATATGAAAGATTGCTCAACCACAAGTTCTCCAGGACATGTGTTAACTGGCATTGCATAAAAAAAAAAATCCTTCCCATGTTAAAATGCACTTTGATTTTTCCCTTAAGATCCAATCAGAATTAGCACAAAAAATATATCTAAGAAGTTGCACTCAACTTAGGATAATCAGCACTTTTGATTATCTGCATGACCATTGCTTTGCTTTTGCATCCGTGAACAAGAGACTAGGACATTGATCAATAGTGTAACATCAGCGGTTAGTTGCATGGAAAACATACAGTTTTGCTGGTTAAATCAAATCTCGGAAACATTAATATTTCATTCACTAATTTTCTGGAAAAAAGCCCTGTGGCATACTAATACTGTAATTACACCCTACATGCATGTTCCAGCTTATAGCAATTATTGGAACAGAGTGTCACCCCCATGCACCTGAGTGTTTGGTGTTTTTTATTTTCTGAATTGTGATTTACTGTGAAACTCTCCATGCATTACAACAATCATAAAGAAAGCTCTGTGTGGAAAGTTTGCTCAATGGCTCCAGAGAAAAAACACCCTGTGTATTTTCAACGAGGGATTTCTTCATGCTCAGGCAGCCATAGTAATACATAAAACACAACAAATGAAGAAGAAAAATAAAGGAGTCCAAGTGTTAAACCAGTCTAGACAGACAGAGCAGATTGTAAAAATGGAAAAATTTCAGTTTTCCTGCATGTGGTAATGGGACATTAAAGGTCATCTATTGTGCAAAATCCAGTTTTTCATGTATTTTATAACCCCCTTATCACCTGAATCTCCTCCTAGAGCACCATTGTGTTCTTTTTAACCAAATATCTCTCAGAGGGGCGTGGGGAGTGGCACATTATT